AAACGGAGCAGCGAATGGCGCCATTAACGGCCGGGGGAGGCGGTCACCGGTGCGAGGGGGCGCCGGGCCCGGCCTGCTCGCACGGGGGCTACTAACGGGCAAAACGGGGAGGCAGCCTGCAGTGGTGTGGTTCTCTGTGAACAATCTCCTACTTATTAGTCTCTTCGACACTTACTGCTTTATTATCATTATTATTATTAAGCTCTTACACCTGTGGTATCTTTCCCGCTTTAGCAAATGAGCATCCCTTCGGAAGCCCGGACTCCTTGACTCGGCCCCCCATCAGGGCATCCAGGGCAGCAGGTAAGCTTGGGCTTCCGACCTGGAGAAGCTGCTGTGCTCACTGCTTTGCCTTGTGAGGATGCTAGGGAAAAACAACAACAACAACAACAACAAAAAAAACACCCCTATGAACGTAGTTTATTGCGTTTGAGCACATTTGCTCATCTTGACCCAAACCAGTCATGCAACTATAGGTTTAGAAATCTGTCATTCCATTCTAAATCTGCAAGCAAGTCATCTTCATTTCCTTCCTTTTTCTGTCACATGATCTGTTGGAGTTAAGCAGGGTTTGGTAATTCCCAGATGGGTGAATTGGGCTAATTCTGACAGACCTCTTGTTACAGCACAGTGTATGGCCTAAAGTACCCAGTACTGTCATTAGACTTTCCTGACAGGGATAAGTAAGAGCTGCCAGCATCATGCTTCAGTTTTAAAAAATTCCAGGAGACATAAAAGAATCTCCTTGAGGAGGAAAGGGAGAGGATGTATATATTTTTGGGGGGGAAAGTAAGATATCAGTAGTTACCCATGTAAAAATAGCAATTATCACAACTAGTTAGTTCATAAATTGTGCTGTTAGCTTTACTGGTGAAAAATGTGGGAAGCAGTTACTCCTAAATGATGGCTGCCATAGCACTAACATGCTTGTCTGGGCTGTCTCATGAGGTATAGTATCTTTTTTTTTTTTTTTTTCTGCTGCTGGCATACTGCAAAATGAGGGAATTGAGAGAGATGCCAGGATTTAACATCTGTGAAATTTAATTATATTGGCAATAGGTGTAAAGTTAGAATATTAAGAGACCATAGTGCTTTATACAGCAGTGAAGGAACAGAAGAATGACTTCCGCTCACAGTCCTTTTATTAGTAAGTATAACTTTTTTTTTTTTTTCCTGGAGAATTTAAGGAAGAGCAGTGGGACTGCATGGGGATTTTTGTGAGGACTTTTAGTTTCCAAATGAAAGCAAAACCACAACTCGAAAAACTGGTTTCCAACTCCTGATTTGAGGTTTTAAATATGAATTAGGAAACTCATTTCTAAAGTTTAAAGATCTTAAAAACCATGTCACAAGGAAGGCAGCTTCTAGATCATAGAAAATGCGCATTAGTAATCTCTGTTCAGGTAGAATTGTGAAAGGCAGGAGCTAGATGTTTTTGGCACTTGAATTCATGCAGTCTATAGTTTTAATGGAATATAGATGCATATGTGTTACATGCAGTTGCATCTTGGTATTGGAAGAAGACTGGAAGCCATAAGGCTAGGGATGTGCTGGACTTAAGGAGTGGGCAGCTCTAAGTTAAAACAGCAGCTTTATATTTTGGTTTATAGAGCTTTTAGAATTTCATGGTTTTCTAGTCTCTGATTAAACTGGGATATGAAATGGGGATAGATTATTCCCTCTTGACAGGTGTCTGTGCAGAAGGTAGCTGGCAGGTAAATTTAAGGCAGATTCATGAATTCTCTGTAGTTCATTGGGAGGCAGGAATGATCATTTTGATAGTAGGCTCAAGGTCTTGTAATTGCAGTGTTTGTTTTTGAAAGATAAAGTTCATGTGCGGAGACTTTTCCCTGGAAGGGGTGTTATGCAGGCAGTCTGCTGCACTAATAGTCTTCCTCCATGCTGGAGATATCCGTGGTTAGTAAATGAAATAGAAATTGCTGATTAACGGGCTATCTTCATGTGTGAAGTAAAGTGGAGTTTGTTTACATCTTTCCTGCTTGCAAAAACTTCCTTTGGGGACGTGCAGAGTACTGACTGATGCAGGGATGGGGAGAGGAATTAGTGTGGAGTGCATGAGTAGCTCTCTAGGTTCAAAGATCTTCTCAACCTTTGATTACCAGTGAACACCACTACTGAAATTCTCATGCAAAGCCTCTGTGTGTGTGTTCTGGAATATGGCTATATTTTTTGGCATTCTTGAAAATTGGGTAAATGGGTTAGTGTTTTTTCTTTTTTCTTTTTTTTTAACTCATTGAGAAATTACAATTGCTACAAAGCTGTTTGGGATAGCTTTGAAAATGCAGTATCCCACTTAAGAACTTGCAGATAAGCTAAAAGTCACCGGGACAACAGTAAGTTAAAACTTACTTTTTTTTTTTCTTTTTTTCTTCTTTGCGTGCTTCATAACCAGTGGCATGCCAAAGGTGCCAGAATATATTTTAATCAGGTTGTTTTATTTTCTTGAGGCAAAATAGCAAACACTAGGTGGCAAGATGTGTATTGTTTTTCATGTGTGTGGTATAAGAACTATAGGAACATTTTAAGCTACAGGAGAACCCTGTACTGTTAAAGAATGCAAAAAGTGTCCAGTGTGGGTATCACAGAGAGAAAAGCATTATTGATTGTGTTCTTCTGGTTGGGATTTCTTCTGTTTATGCCCTCAGCTTGATGATTTTGTCATAATCTCTGCTCCACAGTTGTGCTGCAGCTTTCGTTGCATACCTGGACTTTCTTGTTGTTGCCTTTTTCCCCCTCTGTGAATCTGGGTAGCTGTGTGGTTGCCCTTTATCCTTTCAAACCTCTTCTCATGGTTTTCCACTTCTGACTGGCTTTCCAGCCCTGACCTTTGCTCTGCAACTCCTGTTGCCTTCCTGGACTTTATTCTTTCTAGATAGTAACATTAGCTAAGATGAGTTTTAGTGTCTAAATGGCTGCATATTTTGGGAAGCAAACTAAAGGTATTAATTGTAGTGGAGTTGATTTGCCTCTAAGATTTTTGTTTTGTAGTCACTTTTGGGAATTAAACCCTACAGTGACCTTTGGGAGATCATAACTGGAAAACCATTGGTTTAGTTCATACATGTCCTAAACAGTGTCTTTTAGTTGTTATTGAAAACAAATACTGTGCAAATACTTTTATACTGACTATGAAAATGCTTTTTTCTCTTCAGATAGTCCTTTAACTTCCTTCATTCCAGAGCAATCGAAAAAGGAAAAGGCAAAGATTTATGACAGCGTTGAACCCAAGAAACCATTAGGGCATCAGTCAGACACTGATACGTTGTTAAAAGGTAACAACAGGGGTTTGGTTGATACCTCTTTCATGACTGTGTATTTTGTCTTCGCTTGGTGCTGATTTGGCTTGAGTTTTGGCTTGTGTATCTTGATCTAAAGGAAAGAAAATCTGAATGAGGCTGTTTATAGTAAAAGTTATGTCTATCAACTCATCTTTCAGTTTTGAAAGTAACAAATCTGGTACTTCTTAAGAGAATTCAGTGTTGATGCTGCTAATTCCTCATTCTCTTTCTTTTATTTCTTTGCCTTAAAAAAGGGGAAGAAACATTAATGCTTGTTGTTAACTCCTCCTGCAGAGGAGTCTGAAGTTGTCATATGGAGCGGGTTTGCTTTGCTAGTTAAGGTAGATGTGACTACTTCTCTGACATTCTTCTAAAGAATTCACAGAAAGAGCTAAACACATTTGTGGCTTGTCTGTCTTTTTCTAAACTCTTTCCATTTTTGCTTTGGTTTCAGAAAGCAGGGCTGACTTCATTGAGAAAAAGAAAGAGCACCACCTGCCCTCATTACAAAGTAGGTGGAAAAGTAAATACTTAATCTTTGTTTGCCTCTAAATGAAAAGAGAGCTAATAAAAAAGAGCCAGGTGAAAAGGGTCCTTTTCCTTTTCTGTGCTCATATTTTTCTTGTGCCTTGTAACAATTTGCTCGAGAAGGTGGACACAGAATGGAAGACCCAGGAAGCAGACCTAAATAGATGAATAGATGAGATGGAGACACCAGTGTATATAAAGCCAGATCCTCCTATGAAGCTATTCACCTTGTTGACCCAACAGAAAAGAATCCGCTTTTTTTCTTCTTCCCTTTTGGGGGAAGGGGAGGATTATCAGTTATATGGTTGAGTGAAGAATTTGCAAAGTCGCTTGAAATTGTAAGTTTTAGTGTGCCTACAAGAGTGCCACAGGGGGGTTAGGCAAGACAGTAATTGGTTTGGTCTGTAAGGAACTTGGTTCTAAATAAACAAAGATTCATAGGTAGAGTAGGATCTGTGCTCAGAGCATTTGTTGAAATATATTGTTTACTTTGTGTGAATTACTGATTTTTTTGAACTGTGAAAACCAGTGTCTCTTAAACAGGGTTGCATGCAAAATATTACAGATGGTAATCTGTTAGCTATTAGAACATTTACTTCAGATTAGCTAGTTAGAAGTTCAATTTCTCTGCTCTGTCAAGGGGAAAAATGGCGAATGGAGTAGTTTTGTTGAGCCAGTTAAGCTCTGGCTTTAAACCAGAGCTGCTTTTAGCACCTGAGTGACTATATTCATACAGAAACAGGGTTGTAGCATTTACTTTGGTGTTCTTGAAATAACTGCTGCGGGATGTGATTATCAGTTTATTACTGATAATATTGCTGACAACATCCTCATTGGTCTATATTTTAATGAAGTGCCTTCACTGTTGAACTGGTTGGTGTAGTTCTTGTGTTTGTTTGTTTGTTTGTTTTTCTTAAACTGAACAACTAAATGTAGAAAATGTCCTGACCAGTAATTGCACTGTATGTATTCATACAGGTCTCTTGGAATAAGGAAAGCTGTTCACAACTTTTCTTACGGATAATGTCTCTAGTATCTTGCTGTCTGACCCCATTTAAATAAATAGATCAGGAATATATTTTCAGTTGGAAACTTATATTTTGCTTTAAAAGCATGATTCATCCCAATAGACTGTCAATAAAACAAGTGTCTGACCCCAGCTGGCTGGAGAGATGTGAGACTGTGCCTTTAAAATAACATGGTGCTTTTGCTACTTAAATCTTTCATAGTGCTGTTTTCCTAAAATACACATCATGTGAGCTTCCATTTTCTGTCATCCAACTTCTTGCACAAAATTGAAAACCTGAATCAGGTTGGGGTGCTCCTGTGTAGAAAAACCTGCAAGCTGCCCAGCTTTTGGCAGTCTGACATCTTGGACCTCAGTTCTTACTTGTATAACTCTTGAAGAGCTAAAAGTCATTAGGGGCAATCTGTGGTCAGTTGTAGAATTTAGTAGAGTTTTTGTAGAGTTTAGTATGTAAAAGCATAACGGAGCTACTTCCAACTAAAGTAAAGGAGTTTTGTGATTTCAATGTCCTGTTAAATTCTCTGCTCCAGTGTTGATTAGAACTATTGTCTTATGTATTGCTCTCACGTTCCTCTTTTATTCTCTTAACAGACAGAATTAAATCTCAAGATCGACCCAGGAGTATAGGGAAGGAGTCACAGCCTTCAGCCAAAAGTAAGACTTCTCCTTTCACTTCTGTTTCATGTTTGTATTATGTTTAACCATTTTCTTGCCTGTCCAAGTATTAGATTTCCTGGTAGTTAGTGTTAAACTGAAGATCCTTGCCTGAATGGGTGATTTGTTCCCTAGGGTGCGTGTTTTTAGCACTGAAGAAATAAGTAATGCTTCCACCTGAGTTTAGGTCTTCTATATATAATGCTTACAAATTTCCTGCAAGATTAAAATTGAGGCATGCCTGGTGCTGTTCTTATCTAACAGCTGTTGTTTTGCTGTTCTTCTATAGGTTAGGATATAAAAGGGTGCAAGATTTCCCCCCTCCCCAAAGGAGGCCACAAAGGCCTTTGCCACCAATTTTGTTAGTGGCAGAATTGGTACTTAGACCTCAAAGTACTTCAATAAGTGTTAATTTAACTGTTCAAGTATAAAATCAAATCAAACCATGTGTAGTGTTGAGCTCCAGCATTTAAAATGCAAATACTGCTGCAGAAACCATTTTCATATACTTATTGGGATAGGGAGGAGAAATAGCACCACAGAAACCATCCTGGTGATGCCAGGTTTTATATTGGTCAGCTTAAATGTACAAACAAACCTGACTTTTTTTTCTGAACCATTTTAAGGCTCAGAATTTGTGTTTGATTAAATTAAGTGTAGGTATTGATAAAATCTCAGATGAACTATTCTAGAAAGATGTGCAGTTACCTTGTCATTTCCAGAACTATTTCAAAAATGTTTACTTTTTGATACTGTCACTTCTCTATGTCAATAAAGAAGCTGAAAGCTTTTCTTTTTTTAATTCAAATATCTTCTATATTAAGCTACTATACCGATAGCTCACAATACTGATATGAGTTCAATTGACTTCTCCTGATTTGTCTTATTTTACTCTTGCTTGTTGTCTGAATCATTTCTAAACACTTTTTTTTTTCCCCTCCCTATTTGGTCCTCTTTTCTATAGGTGCTGGTGGATTGCAGAGTGGATTTCACAAGGTCTGGACTTGGTTACTGCTTATTCTGTTAATCAGTGTCCCATTGCTTTGGGTGCTGTGGAGTGGAATGCCAAGGTTTCTAGACACAGCTTTGTCAAGTAGAGATATTCAAATTCTGCAAGCATTTCGGGCCCAGATGAAGAAAATCAAAAATACTTATCAAAGTCAGGATCCTAATTTATGGAAGAGAACACACATGTTCCTTGAGAAGCATCTCAATGCTTCCCATCTACATTTGGAGCCAGCAATTTTGCTGTTCACAGCTGGCCAAGAAGCTGAGAAGGCTCTAAAATGCCTAAGTAATGAGATTGCAGATGCTTTGGCCTTCTCCCAGAATGCTACCACAATCAAAATTGACGGGGCAGACAAAGCTGTATTGGACAGCGATGCTGTTAAGTTGGAAGTAGATGATGAGCTCAGCTCTGGGTTCAAAGGAGGCAAGAAGGTAGCAGTGGTGCATCGATTTGAATTACTGCCTGCGGGCTCCACCTTAATCTTTTACAAGTACTGTGACCATGAAAATGCAGCATTTAAGGATGTGGCTCTTCTGCTGACTGTCCTCCTGGATGAACAGTCTCTGAGAAAGAGCCTGACCCTGCAAGAAGTTGAGGAGAAAGTACGAGATTTCCTCTGGACCAAGTTCACCAGTTCAGATGCTCCTACTTCTTATAAGAACATGGACACAGATAAACTGAGCGGACTTTGGAGCCGGATATCTCACCTTGTCTTGCCTGTTTGGCCTGAAAAGGGCCTCCCAGTGGAAGGATGCACATAGGTTGTTAAAGGAAGATCAGGGAAGGAGGAAGATGGAGAATGTGTGTTGTAATGGCTGAACCGGGTGGAAGTTCCTACAGCTGCTGAGGTCAGCCAGCACACAGTGCTCTGTGCGCAAGAAAATCTATCCAATCATCATGGTTGTTTCTGCTAAAGTACTGGGGACTTTCTAAACTCCAAACTGTCAGAAAGGAGCATAGTTCTTGGTAAGCTGCATTTGGTAACGTTTTCAGGTTGAGCACCTGGGGCTGAAATAGAAGTCCCCTACTGCAAATGATGCTTCTGCTTGGAAAGCCATCTACCTTTGGCCTGAGAATCCCTTCTAGTGGCAGAACATGCTGGTATTGAATATGACATGGTAATGGGATGTAAAAACTTTACTTTATCTGACAAATTGCTTTGTTTTCTGCCTGGGACATTTAATGAATTGAAAATGATAGCAAAGTAGTAGGAGTTCAAGCACAAAGTTTTTCTTGGTCCAGTTGACCACAACACGGCTGTTAGCTGTCTCTGGGAACTTCTAGAAAAGGCAAAATTGCCGAAGAGATCTGTGATCTGTAGTGAACCTTTCAGCAAGGACTTTTTTCTTAAATGAGCCTGCCCGAAGCAGTCCTGGAGACTGAGAAATCCTGTACAAAGGATTGCTTGATGTTAGTGGTAAATGTCAGCCAAATAATCCTTCAGCACCGCTATCTCATTGCTGCCAGGAATTTTCTTTGTTAAGATTTTAAAATCTTAATTTGGGGAAAAAAATTATAAATGTCAGCCCAGTGTGTATATGTGCGCTAAAGACTTGTTCCATCCCCTTTCCACAGACAAAAGTTTAGCAAGACAGAGATTATTTCCCATTTTAATAAGATGACTATTTTTGCATCAAGAGGATTTATTTATTTGTGATACTCATACCTATACTTCTATCAAAATAACCATTTTCATGCGTCTGTATATAACTGGCTGCTTACTATGTGAAATTTTAGTGAAGATCAGATTTGCATTGCTTATATCTTAAAATATATTTTGGGCACATCAAACTAAAAAAAAAAACAAGTGCTGTTCCTTTTGTAAATATTGTGGGTAAATGTAAGTGAATTGTAGCACTTCCACATCATTGCTGGTAGTGTATGTTCTTGGTCTGTGTGTGCTCAATTTTCAAGCACATGAAGGAATGTGTGAAGACTGCTCTCAAATTAGGGGAATGTTTTCCCACAACAGCTGAGGGATTAGTGGCTCTTGGATGCATCCTTTATTCACAAGACTCCCCTGAGCTCCCCTGCTGTCAATATCCTTCTGAGGTAGGAGGCTTCTCAGGGTGCTGGAGCTCTACAAGTGGATTTGTTCTGACCACTGAGAGCGAAAACTGTACCGTGCTTTTTATTTTAATGTGAAGAAACAGCAAAGAAACATGGAAGTGCTGCTGTTCTAGATGCTTAATGATTGCTCAGGAAAGGAGAGATGGCATTTACATTTTAGACATTTCACTGGACAAATGTTTTGCTTTAAAATGTGCTTATTTCTGAGTATATACTGATAGTATACTTGTTTCTATGTTACATAAACTATTTTAGTAATCATTAAAAATAAATTTACTTGTTTTATAACTTGTTTTAATATTTGCCATTTCTGTATTAAGTGGTCAGACTATTTTTGTTTACATGTTTAACACTTTCATTTAACCTTGATCAAATGTAGGCATGGAAAATAATGAGCTTTAGCAACATTTAAAATTTCTTAGGAACTTGAATATGGGACAGATATTGGGGATATTGGATCTTTGTATTTGGTACCATCAGGGCTTCTTTCTAACTGGGCACAATTCAGGCAATTATAGTAGTTCTGAATTTCCTCTTGCTCGCTGTTCTTGTACTGCTCCTCAGTTCTGGTTTCAGATGAAACTAACACTAAGATACGGTTCACCATTAGCATGGTACAAGTGTCAGCAGCTGGCAAATGAGATTGCTCTGTTCTTGTTCCCCTCTTAAATGTGTGCTCATGTACTTCTACTGTGCCAAATTAGTACACTGTGAGCTGGCTGGAGAGATGGATGTTACTGAAAATTTAGCTCAGGAAAAAAAGATACTTGGCAGAATCAGCAACCACTGAGAAGACTAAGTTGTGACATGAAGGCAAGAGATTCCATGCTTTTATGATAATAAAGCACATAATCCAGGTTATTTTATGTTTTGGAAACTACCCCTCTTAAGAGATTTCTAAGTATGAGAGGTATGTTCCACTATTTAAAGATAAAACAAGAAGGCAACTAGAAAAAGACTTCATTATCTATTTAGTGTTGTGTCAGATTAGAGCTTTATGTTATTTTATGTTAACTCTAGGGAAATTGAAGTGTATTTCCAAATACAGTTTGAGTCTTGGAAAAATAAATAAAAGCAAGATACTGTATAGCTGTTTTGCCTCATCTGGAGAAGTGGGAACACCCAGGACTAGAAGACCGTACATCTTGCTGAAGAAGCAGGTCCTCTCTGTAGCCTCCTGGAGCTTTCTTCTTAAAAGGCTGTCGTGAGGTGTCTGCAGGTGCGTAATGCAGGTCTCATAAAGTATCTCCTCTTCAGCCAGAGGTGAAGAGTGGTATCTGTGTGTGCTGCTCACAGGCAGCCACTTGCTACCCTGGTTATTGCTTCACTGCTTGCAGCAAAGAGACATTTGAGGAATAACCTTTGGGTAGAAACATTTTGGGGAGCAAAACCAGTTGACCTTCAACTTATAATCAAAATAGTGCAGAGCACTTATTTTCTAGTACTCAGCAAATGAGTTCCTTGAGAGTTTTTCCTGGCAACGTTGTCCCTGTGAGCAGAGGTGTTACTGTAAGGGGGTTTCAAGAGCTTTGAGCTACTTTAACAACATTCCCTTTTCAGACAATAGTCTAGGTGAAAAATTTTGAGAAAGTACAGACAGCCCTCACCAGAAAACAAGAGCCATGATGTACGGCATGCATAGCAAGAAGTTACGAGACTCAAATATATGTATGTGCTGACAGTCTGAAGATAAGGCTTTCCGAGTCTGAAATGTGCTACAAGGAGGAGGACTGGAAAATGTGGTGCCATCCTGATGACAGGAAATTAAGGTGCAGATCACTCCATTGTTTTCAACAGTGAATGCATGTGTTAATGGAAACAGTATACATATATAATAATTTTGGCATGGTATATTGAGGAGTGACAAATCTATTCTCCTCTTTGCTTTTTCTGTGCATCCACTGAGGATCTTGGCCTGCTTGTTCCAAGGTCTAGGAATGAGAATTGAGGTGTTTGCCCTGGTTTCCTGGGGCAGCCAAAATACTCCTCCTGCTACGAGCAGACACTGGGAGTTGGGCAGAGTCGTTGCCCTGGAAGTAGCGATCCAAAGTGGGAGGTGCAGCCGTGGGGCTGCTTCCCTAGGTGCTGCTCTTGCCTTGTGAGGCTGCAGTGTGACGATACCTGCTTCAATTTTAGTAGTAAATGATGTAAAAGGGACCTAGAGTTATGTGCAGCTTCATCTGTTGATACCTTGTCCTTCACGCCCTGCTCTGAGTTTCGATGCACGGAGCAAAGAGGAGTTTTGAACGTGCTTAAAAGGTGGGTTTGAAAGACTGATTTTTTTTTTCCTTCTTCACAACAAAAGCACTCTCTCTCTTTTCCATAAATTAAAAAAAAAGTGTGGATTTGGGATGCCTTTTTGATAAATTGTTCTGAACTGGTAGAAGATTTAGGTCACACTGGGTACAAAAGCCAAACGTTAAGATAGGTGCACGAGTACCTGTTATAAGTGGTATATGCTTAACAGAACATAGCTATACTCATCTGCAGTGCAATTGCCTGCATAATGTATTTAGAAAAACATACAATTTTGGCAGTATGCAATGATAATGAACAGATTTTGTATTGAGGTCCTGTAGCACAGCTGGAAAACGCTGAGGACAAATTTGGAAATCTGGAGTAAGTGCTATGTAATCAGGCTTTCTATTTTATAATCCCAAATCAAACACAAAACTTTTTTCTTTGTTATCTCCACTGAAATACCAACTGCAGAGTTGTGAGGAGGAGTTGTGGAAGGAGAAGGAGGAGGGTTGTGGTCCCCACAGCTGTTGGGTATTCTGTTTTATTGCTAGCCCCTGACAGTAGGGCATATAACTGAATGCCTGGACAACCTCATGCCATGTTTGACAGGTGGAAGCACTTTCTGAAATTCCCTTCCCCAAATTCCCCAATAGCTCTCAGGAGGCATGTCAGTCAAGGAAGGAGGAGGGAAAAGCTGGCTGCTCTTCTTTTGGCTGCAATAGCCAGCTGCCCCTTGCTAATTTTAGAAGGGGTGTGCAAGGGTGGTATGGAGTGGAAAACTTCCCAAACCTCTCTCTCAAAGCGGCAATAGCCAAGTTAGCGTAAAATGAGCTGGTGCTCCACTGGGCTTAGCTCGCAGGCAGCCTCCCGACACTGTGCTGCAGTGTCTTCCTTGCTTTGCAGTCTAATCACCAGTTCATCGGCCTGGATTGGAGCTTGATTTTTTTTTTTCCTTTTTCCCAGGCATGGTTGCTTGCAGGTAAACAGTTTATTTACTTCTAACAATAGAAAATTTCATGACAGAAATGTTTCTCTTTTGCTTTGTGTGAGCTCTGCCTTTGAGAGCTTCATGCCTATTAAAAGTCATATCCAGAGTTTTAATGATGAAGTTACATTAACAGATGCAGAAAATATGAGTCATGTGGAAACAAAATGAGACCAGACAAATATTACCTTTAATTTTACTGACTGAAAATAACAACTTTCTTGTTTGAAAAAAAAAATCCTAATATGATGGCTTATTTTCCTGAAGATAAAAAGGAAGATGAACTAGATTAACTGCTTCCAAGCATAAAAAAGAACCTATGCTTAAAAGCATAATTAAAGAGGCAATGCATTATGAAAGTGCTGAATAATTTAAATAGTCTGCCAAACCAGCAATATTAAGCAGTACATTTAAGCAAACACTAGGTGATGATGGGAATGTAATAATTTAAATTGTCCTAGTCTGCAATCAGGGCTCTTGTGTGTTGTAGTAATAATGCTTTTGCTGACTGAAATTGTCATCATTGTTATTACTACTAACAAACTCTGCATTTGGGAGGAGCGAGTTTACTC